AGATTCAAGTTTTTGCAAATCATGACCCCCGGGGCAAGGGTGGGGCCAAAATGGCCGACCGAAGTTTTACATAGGAATATATAGGAAATATCTTTAAAAATCCTTCTGAAGATCCACAGGGCCAGGAAAGATGAAACTCATGTGGAATCATCCTCAGGTAGTTTAGATTCAAGTTTGTTGAAATCATGACCCCCGTGGCTAGGGTGGGGCCAAAATGGCCGACCCAAGTTTTACATAGGGATATATAGGGAAACCTTTTAAAATCTTCTTTTCAAGTACTTCAAAGCTATGATTAGTGATATTTATATGGAATCATCCTCAGGTAGTGTAGATTCAAGTTTGTTCAAATGATGAACGCCTGGAGAGGGGGAGTAAATTCAAGCCCGATGTGCTCAGGTGAGCGCTGTGGCCCCTGGGCCTCTTGTTTCTTTCAGGATTGTCCTTCCCTTAGATGATCGCGTTCCCTTGCTTTTCGTGCTCATCTACACGGATTTTCTGTCAGGATTATCTTCCATAGCCTTGGACTTTCTCAAGCCTTCTCACAAGGCAGTGATGCTATTTAACCCATAGCTGGGGACTAGGATTGCAGGCATCAGGGCATATCCACATGCCGGTGGGCCATGCATGCATTTAGGGGCCTAGTCTCCTCCAAGACCTTGTGCTTCTGCTTGGGGCCGCAAGGTACCCAATATCCATCTGCTACCATCTGCTTAATTAAATTATCTCATTAAGGACGATCCCATATCTGGGCCACATAAGTCTAACTGTGGAGAGGCTATACCTGGCAGAGAAGACTTCCATATTTTGCTAACTCTTTCGCACCGAACTGCTAGCCAGGGGTGGAGCTGAAAGCGAGAGTGACAAGCACAGACACACTGAAACACACACTATACGCATCACACAGCCATTAAGCAGACTACCATCTGCTTAATTAAATTATCTCATTAAGGACGATTCCATATCTGGGCCACATAAGTCAAACTGTGGAGAGGCTATACCTGGCAGAGAAGACTTCCATATTTTGCTAACTTGCTAGCCAGGGGTGGAGCTGAAAGCGAGAGTGACGAGCACAGACACACTGAAACACACTATACGCATCACACAGCCATTAAGCAGACTTTGTTGACCTAGATCTCACTTATCTTAAAATAATTTTTAGAGAAACTACCCAAAATATTGTTTGTGAGAGCTATTCAACTTCATTGACCATTTGCCGTGACCTTTCCTTTGATCATTACTTAAAATTAGCTAAATATTCAAGAAAATGTATATTAAGCTAAATGTATTTTTATAAAACTTTTTGTGTTTATTATTAGAAGAGAACTATTCAATGGCATTAATATTTTTGATCTTAATTTAAAATTTGTTTTTAGCAAAGTATTTAAGAATCTATTCAACAAATGATGAGGTGACTTGCGGCCCCCAGTAAATTGACAAAAAATTACATGTCTAAATTTTACTCAAATTTTTGTATGTACCTAATCACTGATATGTATACCTTTATAGAATACTATTTTTAACAAAAATAGAAACGTGATTTGAAAGATATAGATCTTTTATTGGGGTAGGGGTATCATGTTTACATCCAATTCCCATTGCATTTTAACCCCGCCCCACTCTTTGAAGCCCTCAAAATATACGAGCGCAGGTAGGTACAATTTTTCTCCTTTTGCTGGTCACTGTATTTTATTGAAATCTACCAATATGTGAAAGGAGAAAATTGTACCTAACTGCGCTCACATGCTATTTTTTTAAAAAATGTAAAATCTAGCTGGCCTTTACTATTATGAACAGATCGACGGAACTGGATTTTCTGACGTAAGAATAAATTCATATGCTAATTGAGACACTGGCGATACTTTCTAACTGACCAATCAGCTAAATGACATTCGTTACGAGTGAGTACCACAAAATACTATGGAAACATGCTGGAATTTTACTGCTTTCTGATAATTTTTTATGCATTTGAGTCAAAGATTAGACACGGATCTACATATGTACAATTTCCGAGATCACAGTGAAATTTATATACAGTTACAAACAATTCATAAATATACATTAGTTTTGTAGCGTGTTTGGTGACCAATTCGCTAGGTCTACATGTATTCCCGAGTATTAGTGAATACAAGTTTCATGTGCATTTCTTGTCCTAAAAAACGTAAAATAATATAATTATTATAAAATGTGTCTGAAACATTGAAACTATTCAAAAGGCGTCGTATTTATTCACGCATGTTTGAAAACTATCAACATCGTTGTAGATTGTATATAATTCGTCGTGGAAAAAGGAGCCCTAGATAGCAGTTATGTCACGACATCATTTTCCATCAGTATTTATGACTTTGACTTCAAATATGACCTTTGACCTCACTTTTTAACTCAAAGAAAACAAGATAATTTTTTTATGAAAACTTATGCACTGATATCATTATTTGATAAGAATTTATGCTAAATAAATATATATTCAACAAAAAAAAGAAACGCATATTCAGATTAAACATTATAATCTAAGTTTCAGTTTACTCCTTACTTTTTTAGCGATTTTAGAGGGTTTTGATAAAAAAAAACATGTCTTGTGTTGCAAGTAGAAAAGTGAAGTTTATGTCATTGTCGACGCCTCCAAATTCTAGGGGCATACCGTCTAAATTAATCCATATGTCCTTTGCGACGTCTAAGCGCTGGTGGATTTCCAGTATACGGATACCGTGCACGAATACCAGCTCTTCAGTCTCTTGCGAACAATTTATGCACTTTTATGCTGATTTTTTCTTCCAGCAATTGTAGCAGCAGTTTTTACAGCAAGTTCTGAATCACGTGAGGTGCCGAAGGGGGGGGGGGGGGATCAGACGGTCCTGCCTGGGTGTGGTTACCTGCGGACGGCTAATTCTAGGTCTTCCGACGATAGTTTAATGGCTGCAAGGCCCATTGATGTATTCCAAATGCAGTTGCAACTTCCTGTTGCGTAGCTCCGTTTAGTAACATCGTTAGCCTGGTTGTGTTCATCTCTGTTTCGGCGTGGCATTGCAGCATCAACACTGCAATCAAATCTTAAATATGGGTTTAATACGAATGTTAATAGTTTCTCTAAATCCAAAATATCAACGAAAATAGACGTCCGATTCAGAAGAAATCATGAAAAACACTACTTTCATAAACACGTTTAATCAAGGGAGATAGTTCAACACTTGGATTTTAAAACTCCATGTTGTCCTTTAAATAGGTCACAGGTATCCAATGATATAAAAGATAGTTGTTCCATGTACATTTGACAAATTTCTTTGACGAGTAAAGCAATATACGTTTCTTTTTTTGTTGAGTATAGATTTATGTTGCATAACTTATGAGCCTTGTTTTGGCATTTATGCCTTGTGGGCACATTTCTAGCATTGGTTAAAACGTGTGTAATTCAGACTGGTTTTCAAAAAGACTTCGACTATTAAGGAGGAATGTCACACCAACTTTTTATTTTATAGATCTCTGAGTCAACCTTTTTAAACATTGGTTTCAGCATTTAAAGGCCGTCTTTCGCTCTTAATTATTTTTTATTTTTTTTTTTGATTTTTTTTTTTTTTTTTTTTTTTTTTTTCAAAGAAAATCCAAAAAAATATTTACATCTAAATGAGATGCTTTCTTGTAAAAATTTTGCTTTAAATGAATGCATCACATGAATACCAAATAAAATATGATTGTAAAGAAAAGCCGTATAGATATTAAATTTTTTTAAATAAAAAAATATTTATGAAAATAAGACATAATTTGTGAATATTTTTTAAACTTGGGGTTAAAATATTCTTAAAACCAGTTACAACTGGGGAGAACATGTTTATTAATCATATTTATAAAAGAAATTGAAACGAAATAGCCAAGTTTTAGATAAATTAATTTTTTTAATGTTGGCCAATTCGGATCAAAATTAAACTGATCCCAACCATAACTGTACAATTATTGGAAATAAATAACATTTCCCCAAGAACACTAGTCTGTTTAGGTGTTATAAGGGTTAAAACATTTATTTATTGTACCTGACAATCAAATAGCTTTCTTCTTTGTAAATACAAGAAAGAGGCAATAATTACTATTTTATTCATTTTGTGTTAATTTGGATCGGTATCAGTTTAATTATGATCAGGTCAGGTCCAAATATTACCGGTAAAAAATATTTTCTCTAAAATTTCTCAATTTCGTTTCATTTTCTTTTTAAAATATGATTGACAAACATGTTTTCCTTAGTTGTGACTAGTTTTATGGTGTTTTTAACCATAAGTTTAAAAATTATTCACAAATAATGTGTTTTATTTTCATAAATAATTTTTTATAAAAAAAAAAATAAAAAGTCTAACCAGCCTTTCTTTACATATTTTATAAGTTATTCATATGATGCATTCATTTACAGCAAACTTTTAACTCGAAAACAACTTATTTGGATATAAATAATTTTTTTCATTTTCTGTGAAAAATTACAAAAAAAATATTATAAAATAATTAAGAGCTAATATCGGCCTTTCAATGCTGAAACCATTGTTTAAAAAGGATGACTCAAAGGTCTATAAAATGAAAATTTGGTTTGGCATTCCACCTTAATTATACATTCACATTTAGTCAATTGACTAAGCATGTTGATTTTTTCCTCAGAGAAGCTCCTTAAGTAAGCCTCATTTCACTGGAAAATAATAATAATAAAAAAAAAGAACAAGGAAGTAGAATTTCATAATAAAAGATTGCACTAATTATAATGGGACCTTTGTGACAGAACTTCATTAAATTATCTCATTAAAGAACACCAAATAGGTCTTTTGCTACATTTTGTACAACGCACTAAAATTTATGTTGAAGGACCCAGTGAAATTCGGGCATTTGTTATTGCAGATGTTTTTCAGACACTCATAATTTGATATGTTTACAGCCGCACACTCCTTTTAGTACTCGCACTGATCATTGCAGACTAGTACTGTATTCAAAATATACAAAAATATTTAATTTTAAATTTTATGCTTTTACAGGATTTAAAAAGACTATAAATTACTTGGAGAACAAAGTATTCTGCCGGCCTGAATCCTATGAAGATGCTGTTGGTTTTTTGTCTACAAATTGCCACATCACTCTGATTGGTCCACCAGGATCGGGTAAAACTTTTATGGCTGTCCAACTTGCAAGACAACTATGTGGGAAGAAAGAACTGTCCCAGTTGAAGTTTTGTGAAACACTGCAAGAGTTGACAGCATTACCTGAATCGGGAAACACATACCTATATATCATTATGGATGATTGGATAGATCGTTACATGTACTACCCTCCAAAATTCAAAGAAGATACAAAATTATTTGATCATATTTTTGAAGATTGCTTAAAAAACAAAAGAATGCGAATAATTTTTACAGTCCAAGAAGATAGATGGAATGCATACGGGGATCTTTTGTCAGATCAAAAGTTGTTTTGCCAAGACAGTTTGTTCTTCATAAATAACAAATCATTTAGTAAAGAAGTGCTGCAACATATGATTAAAAACCACTTACAGTATCATGAGACTAAAGAAGTGTCCATGAATACAAGAACGGAATCTGAAGAAGAAAATTTGGCAATGGAGAAAAGGAATAAAAGCAACGAAATCAAACAAGCATTTGCGAAAGATCTGAAAAGTGATCAAGACTTTTCTTTACCGGTAATGATTGATTTAATCTGTGCAAATAGATTTTTAGTGCCGGGAAAAACAATTTTTTTCAAGGATGAATTTTCAAAGATTTTGCAAACTTTTATACAGAACTGGTTGACTTGCATATCAAATGATGATAAGAATAGCTTTTGTATTCTCATGTTTGCAGCTCTTCATGGAGGAAAAGTTAAGCTAGGTGATTTTACAAGCAAAGTGTTTCATCCCATTTATGAAAATGTTTGTAAAGAGTATGGATCTGAATGTCTAAGGGACATTGAGAGAATTGAAGTATTGTTAAGGCAGAATGAACGTTTAAAGGGTTGTTTGTACCAAGAAAATGATTTATTTGTTTTCCGTCATGATTCACTATTATGTTTCGTGCTGAAGTTTCTCACAGAAACCAAAGATGCCAGTTTCTTAATTAGAAATGCTGATATTGAAATTCTTCTTAAAAGATGTTGGATAAAAGAATCGATAGTAAAAATCTTTGAAGATTCAGCAAAAAGTTTGATGCCAAACGACCCAGTTGGGACAGTCATCATACCTATTAATTCAATAAAAGACTTAGCAAAGAGAATTTACACAGATATGATGGAAGGATATTCTATTCCTGATTGGTCTCAACATGTTTTTACGGAACATAAAACATTTTCTACAATGGGGAGAGAGGTACTTAAAAAATCAGATGAAGCCAGACCTGACCTTTTAAAGAAAATCCTACCAGTTGGTGATGAAAGTCAAATGAAATTATCTGACGAAAGTAGAATCTCGAACGTAACGGAGGAAAGTACTCAGAACATAGAGAAAGATGCACAGTCAAAGGCAGCTAGAAAAGATCATAGTCTGATTCGATCTGAGAAGGAATGTAAACAAGGCAAGCACAAGGAAAAGAAAATTAAAGAAAAATAGCGGGGAAAAAGGAGTCGAATTCTCAAAAACGAGATTCTAAAGAAGGAGAAAAACAAAGCAATGTAGAAGAATCACCCCAGATTAGCCTTTCTCCAGATTCGATTGAGGTAAATTTACCTGGAAATGATTTTAATCCAAATGAGCATGCAGAAAACAGTAACCAGCTTGAAAGGAAGAGAAAGAAAAATAAAGATAAACTTTCCCATGATAAAAAACAGACCAATTCAAAAAAAGTGGGTTTGGACAAAAATAATGAACAAACACCACAACAGAGCCAAATTTCTGTAGATTCGACTCCGGGAGATACTAGTACACCTGTGTGAAAATATGCAGACACCATGAAAAAGTATTGATGAGCGATGGGTTTTGTTGTACATGTACCAATTACACAATCGATATGCATTTCTGTGAAGTCGATATATGTATATACTATCTGTTTCTTTTTTTATTCCGTAATAACGCAGATTACAAATAAAAACAGTAACAATTAGATATACTAGATAAAATATGTGTGAAATATTTTTTATGATGTTAAGAACTCTTTTTTACACTGCACCTAAAGAGCTCTGATTCTATGGCATTTTCTGCAATGAGAGTGATCTGACCTTAGATCTAAATTCAAATGAATAGAAGATTTACTGTAAGTCACTAAATTCGTAATCAATGCAACTATTCTAAACATTTTAGAAGGCCAAAATAAATAAACTGAACACATTATTTACATGTATTTTTTCATTGGAAGTAAACAACAGTGATTTCTGGTCACTGATACTATATTCTGTTTGAACATTTTTCCTGGTGGTAAATGCCACATACCATATATTGGAAATTAAATAGATAATCTGAATATTTACATCCTTATTCAATATAGTTTTCTCTTCTCAGTGGCAAATGAATCATTTTCCACTTGTAATGTAGAGGGAATGTTGAGAAAAGGAGAAGAGAGGGAGAAGATAGTAGAGAAAGAAAGAGACACAACTTTCAATATATTTTGATTCAAGTTTTTAAAATTTTTCATTAATTTCCTTGCAGTATACTGTATTATTGTGTATTTCTCAAAATTACAAGTTATTTTCACAAAAAAATCGACAACTTTTCCGTCAGCTATTTCCTAAATTTTAAATGTTTTGGTTGTTTTAAACTTGCTGAAGAAAAATATAATGGTGGTGTATATATACTGAGGGGAAAAAGAAACACAGGATGAAGGTGAAATATTATCATTTTTAGCTCTACTGGTCAGAGACCAAAAGAGCTTATGCGACAGTAATGCGTCCGGCGTCCGTCCGTCCTTCTGTCTAGCTGTCTGTCTGTCTGTGAACAATTTTACAAAATGCTACTTCTCCTACAGTTTTCGTCTGATTTCGATATAACTTGGCACACAAATAGACTAGACTAAGATACACAATTCTGTTTATCGGTTACAAAGTTACAAACAAAGCAGTTAAATGTTTAGGTATCTACTTAGGTCATGATAAAGAGGAATGTTACAATAAAAACTGGATGAGAATATATCATGATATGGAAAAACTCTTTGAATCCTGGAAACGTAGAAAACTAACTCTTTGGCAAAGCGTGTATAATTCGGACACTGGCTATTTCAAAATTGATATATGCATCGTCAATTTTATGTCTTCCCGATGAGAACTATATTAAGAAAATTCAAAGAATAATTTTTAATTTCATTTGGGAAAAAACGGAGAGAATTAAACGGAACACACTGATTGGTGACATATCACGAGGCGGACTTTCTATTGTCGATGTTGAATGTAAACTAAAATCATTGAAAGCAGCGTGGATTCCACGATTACTAAATTCAAAAGGTTTACTGTTCGATATTTTAAATGATTTTTGTAAAAAACTTAATGTTGATATCTATTATCTTTTAAAGCTTTCATCAATAGGTGTAGATAGCTTAAAAAATATACATGTTCCTTTATTTTACAAAGAAGTTCTAAGTTGTTTTAATGAATGTAAAACTGAATTAAACTTTGATAAAAGATCTTCTGATGAAATTTTGCAACAGCCAATCTGGAATAATCGCAATTTGGTCTATAAAGGAAAAGCTATTTTCTTTGACAATTGGATAAAATCTGGAATTTTATATATATATGAATTGTTTGATGACAAGGGTTGCATCAGACCACTTGAACATTTTTCCAATATAATTGACAAATCTAATTGGCTATGTGAGTACAGAATTCTTCTGTCAGCTACTAAGAATATTCGAAGAACACACAATTTTTCAAATGCAAGCAACATAAATAAACAAAATGTAATTAACTTCAACTTCCCTTTAGGGAACTTCAACATATCAGGAAAATCAAGTAATTTTTTCTACAAAAATCTTATTGAAAAAAAGTTTTGTAAACCCAGTTTTCAAGCCATATTATCTAAAGATTTTGGAATATTTGAGGAGTCAAGTTGGAAAAATATTTATGAATGTAAGATTTTAGATATAAGAGATAAACACATAGCAGAATTTAGCTACAAACTATTGAATAATATATTATGTAACAATGCTTATGTGAGTAAGTGGAAAAAAGATAGTTCTCCTATGTGTATACATTGTAACAAAATAGAGAATGCAAAACATCTGATTTTTGAATGTGATAATGTGTCTAATATATGGAATACTATAAGCAGTTTTTTATCATTTAAAATTCAGTGGAAACATATTGTTGTTGGGTTTTTCCATGAAAAAAATGATAAAACTAGATCTCTTAATTTACTTATTACGTATGTGGCATATAGAATTTATAAACATAAAATGTTATGTAGATTAGAGTCTTTAAGTGAAACTGAATTTAATTTATACAATCATATAAAAAAAATCAATTTGTTTCTACACTTCTGTATTACGCTTTCTATTTGTTAACACTGAGCTAAGGATTTTTGAAAATCTTTCAAAACTAATGTGAAAATTATATATTCTTGTATAAATACTACTGGGAAGGGACCCGTCTTCCCTTAGTGCTGTCAAAAAGGGGGAAGTAAATCGACTGTGAATCGTATTTGTGGCTCCCTCGGTTGACAGCTACACAGAAATTATATCTGTCATATTTCATAATGTATACTGTATGAATATATTTTTTGATAATAATTGTACTTTAATTTTTTTCTATATAATTTATAACATCCTGCGTGATGTCATAGGGACAACAATTTCATTGTTTAGAAGGAGCTTAGTCAGGGCCCCATCCCTGGCAGTTGCCTAATTTTTTTTCTAGTAATGCTAGTTTATATGTTGTTATATATTAGGTCTGGGAAATTAAATTGTTAAAAAAAAAAAAAAAAAAAATTCTGTTTATCGGTTTTTGATTCCGATGAACGGTGTTGCCGTGGTTACTAAAAATAGAAATTTTGTGAAATTGTTTTAAAATGCTATTCCTCCTACAGTTTTGGTCTGATTTCAATATTACTTGGCAAACAAGTAGAGTACACTAAGATACATAATTCTGTATATCAGTTTTTGATTTCGGTGAACATTGTTGCCGTGGTTACTAAAAATAGAAATTTCTGTGAAATTGTTTCAAAATGCTACTCCTTCTACAGATTTGGTCTGATTTCAATATAACTTGGCACACAAGTAAACTACACTAAAATATATAATTCTGTATATCAGTTTTTATTTCGATGAATGTTGTTGCCATGGTTACTAAAAATAGAAATTTCTGTGAAATTGTTTCAAAATGCTACTTCTCCTACTGTTTTGTTCTGATTTCAGTATGACTTGGCACACAAGTAGACTACACTAAGATACAGAATTCGATGTATCGGTTTTCTGTTTTTATGAATGATGTTGTCATGGTTACTAAACATAGAACTTTCTGTGAAATACTTTCACAATACTACTCCTCCTACAGTTTTGTTTTGATTTCAATATAATTTGCACAGAAGTAGACTACACTAAGATGCACAATTCTATTTATCATTTTTTGATTTGAACGTTATTGCCTTGGTTACTAAAGATAGAAATTTCTGTAAATGCTATCAAAATGCTACCCCAAATACAGTTTTAGACCGATTATAATATAATGTGGCATGCAAGTAGACTACACTAAGAATATAAAGAGACTTAATCAAGGATCATTATTCTATTTATTGCTGTTGTAAAGTTTTAATTCCCAATTGCTACTTTGCTCTTCCTTTGCTATAAGTAAAAACTAGGAGAGCTACAGTCTCGACAGACTTCTGGTTCTTTATGTTTTTTGTAGTTTTTGTATTTGACGACAAAGATCATCTTCAATGAAAAAAAATTTAACCAAAACCCCATCTGATTTTGCCTCACAATTTATTGAAACTCATACAACGATACCCCAAAAACAGAGAAAATTTAAAAAAAATCTTTTTATCTTCAATGTCTCCTTTGCGCATCTTTCACAGCCTTGAGTCTCTTTGTATGGAGTTCATCAGTATGTTTATCCTTCATATTGGGATATTATTAAAACCTATTAACAAGACAGACCAGACCGGCTTGGGTATTTCGAACCTTTAACTCTTAGTCCCACAGATGAGATGAGAAGAAGATGGAGTTTATGGAGACCAATTGAATGGGTAAATGTGATTGTTTGCGAGAAAGTCTTAACAAACCCAAGCTATACTGGGCCGGGGGAAACACGCTGAAAAAAATAGGTGAACGGCTCCCGCACGCGCCAGTGAGAGGAACACCAAGGTAAAGTTGACCATCTCAAAAATCCAAATCGCGCAATCAGCTTCTTTCAGTTTTTTGGTGAATGTTAGGATTATGTTGGTGTGCTGTCACAGTTCTTATTTTTCATTTATATCGCTTTGTAATATGCAGTGAAATATGTGAATCATATAGAGTTATCGTTCTTTGTCAATTTTTTGAATTATCTTCCTTGAGCAGTACTCTTTTGTGTACAGAGTTCCTTCCCTCATTTTTCCGTGCAAATGGTTCAGCCGTTCGAGTTCCATCCGCGAAGACGTACATACATGTTTTGTTCTTTCTAGTACCTTGTTTTGATTTGTGGCCTGATACCATACAAGTTTTTTTATAGGAAACTTTTGGGACGTAGAGCATATTATTTGTACGTTATTTTCGGTAATTTTTTTTTTAGAAGTTTTGTGTAGTGTAAACACTTTTCAGTCAGGTATTTTTCACGAAGTAATAAGTCAGAAAAGTTTTTAGAATTGATTATTGTTATTCATTTTATCTAGTAATCGTTAAAGTTATTGATCTATTATTATGGTTAGGTTTATATGCGAGCTTTTTTCTATTGAACTCTGCTAGAGTCTTTTTTGGTATTTAGTATTTGTTTTATTTATTTCAGTTATTTGCCTCTCTCATCCTCATTGACTCACTTACTCGCTCGCTCACTCATTCCCTTACGTACTGTAATAAATATGAAACCAGCACCTTGTGTTCTTTGATTATATGTGACTGTGAGGACTCATGTTTAGCTAGCTGTTCCAGACAGCATAGTACATAAATGTCAACTGGCCAAACCCAGAATTCGAGGATGAGTGATCATCTTCAAGACGAAGAAGCAGAAGAAGAAGATGAGGCCTCTCCCAGGCTGAAACGTCAAAGAGATTTAACTGCAAAAGGTGAATGTCTTCTAGACAAGTCTATTGACAC